AGGTCAAAAAATGTGGATCTATACATCCACTCCCCCATATGCCTTCATGGCATAGTATGTAATTAGTTAAGCACAGGATAATTTTACCTTTTACTGTATTTTACTACATTAGAAGGAGCAGGGTCCTAATTTTACCATGTCCTGCCCCATTAGGAGAAGCAACTGATTAAGCATAGCAGGTAACATTTAATTTTAACATTATTTGCAGTATGAAGGAACAATGCAACAGACTTTCACTCCACAGTAAAACGGGTCAAGGACACTGCCATTTCAAGCACTCTTAAAGACATTAACTGACTTGATACCGTTCATTTTAAGACTGGTCTTTCTGATAATATCCTGTATAAAACAACCATATCCAATTAAATAAAGATCAACTGACCTAACCTAGAAAATCCAAGCATTAAAACTATTTTAGGTAAATTTAAGCCTATTAATTCTTCTGTAACAAACAGTGATTTTATTTAATTTGTATTAGCAGTATGTACAGTTATACACTGATGATGACCAGATACAGTGTACAGTGATACCACAACATGACAGACACAATTAATACAGGGTTTTTCAAAAATACACAGCATAACTTCAGGAATGAGTTCCTCATATGTAGATAATAAAAATAGTTTATATCAACATAGGTCCAGAAATGCATTGTTTCTGAGTTTTAAGGTCTATGACACAGCTCTTCAAATTACCTTATAGTAAATGTTCCATGTGTCCATCTCCTGCCTGAAAATAGGCCTTAGCTCGACGTCTCATTGCCGCCTGAAGGCAATCCCAAATTCCTGGCATGTTGCATATTGTCTGAAAACCTGCCTGAATTCAATTTCAGAGAGGTTCCACAACATCCGCTGGAGACGAATACACCAACGATTTTAAGTGTCCCCAGAAAAAGAAATCTGGTGGTTGTGGAGGCCAGGCAATTGGTCCACCTCTACATATCCACCGACCGCTTAACATTTGATTCAGGTACCTGCTGGCAACAAGACTGATATGTGAGAGCCAGCCTTTCCACGCCATGGAAGAGAATGTAAAGCTCCACACAATCTACTGTCCACAACAAAACTGAAAAATGTGCACCTGTCACCATATTTTGAAAGTGGGCCAACCAACATTTCCAGTTCATGGGATTATGGTAAAGCTCAGGGTTGCACTCAGGTGGCTGATAATTACTGAATAAACTCAGTTTGTTTTGGAGGTACAGAAAATAAAGTTGCAGGGNGGAAGGAAAAAAGCTGATGTATGCCGCGAATTTGGTTTGGTGAATTCTACAGTACAAACAATATGGAGAATCCATATTAATTCCACGTTAATGTTACGTTAGTCTGTACTTAACTACGTATTTCATTAAAAAATGCAACATTTTAACTCGGTTTTTGGTGGATTTTTATGTGACTAACATAAGGCTACTGTGGAAGTGCCCATTTCAGTTACAATGACATTCGTTTATAACGACACTATTTTTAGGTCCCTTTGATGACGTTATAACCAAGTTCTACTGTATTTCAGTAACAATAAACACTTAAAATACATCTCAGTTCTAAAAGCTTATGTCTACTAACCAACCAACCAACTCCACTGGGCTGAGTCCTTCTTGAAAAGTCACCAGTCACTCAGCTACTCAAGAATTTTGCAACATTTCATAGAACCCAAAGGTTCATTTCCATGTTCACAAAAGCCCTGAACTGGTCCCTGTCACAAGCCAGATCAGCCCAGTCCATACCACCCCATCCTATCGCTCTATCCATCCATCTTTATATTATCCTCCCACCTGTGTCTAGGTCTTCCTAGTGGTCTCTTTCTTGCTGACTTTCCAACCAAAATCTAATATGCATTCCTCTTGCTTCATTCAATACTTCCACAAAAAGCTTCCAATTTTGGGGTATGGTTATATTGCATTTACAATAAAACACAAAAATGTGAAATCTTATAACCAGTGGATCATACCCAGTCTAGAAAACCGGGATTAACAGCCATGGGGATTCGTTGTACCGACCATGTGACACCCTGTATCCACTAAAGTTGGCACTAACTTCGCCGATATGCAGTGATTGGTCGCTTGGTCGCTATGCTTCACTTGCAGACTAAAGTCACGGAGTTTGGTGGATCATACACCATAACTGCATTACATTCCCTGGATCCAAAGTTAGTCAAAGTGACTGTAGAATATGGAATATGTCATATAGGTACAAAAAACATATATAGAGTACAAATGAAGTTTTCACACAACAAAGCACAGTGGGTACACATAAGGCTATTCAAAAATACATCACATCAATACTGTCAACGTGTGCTTTTTACACAGCCTTCAAATGGACGAGTCACTCTTCAGACAATAAGTATTCATCAACAGAATAGACTGTGTGTGTGTTTAAGCGTCGTTTTAGTGATATTTTGTTGTGGTTTTTCATTCATACGACTTGAGATGGTAGATAACTGAAAATTTTGATCCCAGCATAATATGTGCTTTTTTGAAAGCATGAGAGGTTAGCATTTGGTTTATGGAGATAGTGCTTGTGTCTTGTGTTAACACTGTGTTCATCTGCATTGGCCTGAAAATGTTCTTCACTATTTGTAATGAAGTTTATTAATGAAAATATATTCACATGGAAGAGTTAAGATCTCTAGTCACTTAAACAGATCCCTATAAGAATTACGGGATTTGACACCCATCATGATTCTAACAATTTTCTTTTGCAATGAATTACCCCAGAAAATTATTCCATGCTTCATTAAAGAACGAAAGTAAGTAAAATATATATTGCTTTGGGAGTGCCAATATTGCTGATATGCAACATAGCTCTAACTGCATAACATGCTCCGCTTAGCTTTTGAATCAAATGATCGATATGGTTTTTCCAGTTTAAATGAGTATCAATTTGTAAGACAAGTAATTTTGTGTTTACTGCCTCTTCTTCTTTCTAAGGCTCAACAGCTTCATTTCTTGAATGCTTTGGCCTGCTCAACAATTTCCTTCCAACTTCTCTGTCCTGTGTATGAGTTGTCCAGTTATAAATTCCTAAATCCTTTAGATCTTCCTCCCTTACATCATCTTTCCATCTGATCTTAGGTCAGCCTCTCTTTCTTATAGCGTGAGGCTGCCAGTCATATATTCTTTTAACTGTTCATCCAGCCTCCATCCTTGAGATGTGTCCAAGCCAACTTTTTCTTTGGGCTTTGATGAAGTTAACTGTGTTCCTTCCTTTTATTAGATTTTCTAGTTCGTCATTTGCTTTAATTCTCCAGGAGCCATCATAGTTATATATCTTTATCATTATATCCAATGTTTAATGGATATTGTGGTGAGCTTTTTTTGTTCTAATTTTTTTACCTTTGTTTTATCTAGATTCAAGGACAGCTTGCTTGCAGAAAGCCATTTTCTCATTTGTGGGAGAACTTTGATAGTATGCAGAAATCATTTAAATTTTTACTAGGAATTAAGATAGTAGTGTCGTTAGCAAATATTATTGGTATTGATGATATGTTTACTGCAGAAGAGAGGTCATTTATATAGAACAGGTAAAGCAAATGTCCTAAAATTGACGCCTTGGAACTCCACGCTTTATTGTTCCCCAGGTTTGTGTAGGTACTTTGGGTTAAACTTGACGATTTTGTTTAAGTCTTTTGTTTTCTGTTTGGTAGGATCTGAACCAAATTGTTGCTCCTTGAATTTCCCCCCCCCCTTCAAAAAAATTAGTTAATAAAATTACGTGAATTATAGTCAAAAGCTTTTGCCAAGTCACAGCATATTCCACCCACGTGCATTTTTATTAATCTATTTTAATATGCTATCTGCTTAAAGGCTGCACTTGCAGTGGATATTCCTTGCCTGACGCTAAACGGTTCTGGGACTAGTATATTAAATCTGCAAATAATGGCTTAACCTACCGTGCATAATTTTCACATGTACTTTAGAGAAAGTAGTTAAGAGTGAAACTGGCTTTAGTTTGACATACTAGTTTTGTCCCCTTTTGTGTACAGTGGTCTTAATACTGAAATCTTAACATGATCAGTAAAAATTATGTATTTATTAGGAGATTCAAAACTGCACGCCCATTCATGTATAGTTAAATAAAAAAGTCTTCACATCAATTTAAATTTAAATGGGCATTTAATTGATTTTCAAATGCTATAAGAAATGCACATTACGGTCATAAAGTGAATAGCACAATAAGCAGCAATACTTCAACGACTACATTTTGAATTTACTTCTCCATTTCTTCTCGAGAAATGCTTCAGAATATAAGAAAAATCTAAAACACGGGAATACATAATAATTCACCCTACTAATGCATATCTGCCTATGCAAACTCGTTTAAAATACAAAAATTGTTTAAGGAAATGAAACCACTCCCGTATTCTAGATTTGTCAGAAGCGAGAACGTAAGGCTAATGGCACGATAAATGTTACTGGCACACTAATAATATCAACCATTAATTGATTTACAATTATTTAAATCATAAACTTCTTAAAATACAATACAAAAATCCTTACTTTTTTTCCTCGCCGCCAATATCTTGAAAATCTTGAACACACCCACTGCAATCAGCTGATACACACTGCCAATCCCGACCGGGATTGGTCGTTTATATGCCATGACGCTATGACGTCATTACCTCTCCCTTCTTACCAATACCAACATTAGCAGTTGGGGTGCCGTGATTTTTACTACGGCGTAACCTTGATTTTTCTTCTGCCGCGGGGGAAGGGGAGAGAGAATTAATTAACATTAAAAACTTCACGTTCCGGTATTTATGGGTCAATAAACAAACAGGTTGTGTTGTTCTAATCCTTATATGAATTTAACACTTCTGACAGTCTTACCATCCTTATATACTCCTACTGAACTAAACTTATGGGAAGAAGCATGATTATCAATAATAATTTAATCCCTTGCCACGCTGTTTAAATTCACTATATCCTCAAATTGTCTGGCCAGTTAGTTTAAAGTCCTTTCATACACTGAAATTGGATACCTTAAGCTTGACAGAAGACAATGTTACAGTACTACATTCTGCTATATTAGATATAAAAAGAGGATTCAGGTAGTATTTTCATACAGTTGTGTGAAGAGGATTTGGCTTTATGTAACACAATAGAAATTATCACATCTCTTGTAATTTAAAACGAGCAGTAACAACAAAATTTTGCTTATTTCAGTTCATTTTACATAGTACAATCATATTACCTCCACATTATTTTAAAATGGTATATTTCTTCAGTACTCAAAAGTATGACATTATGCTTATGACTTATGCTGCATTGTGACATTCTTTGTTTATATATATATATTCCTTCCAATATATGGTGCTGGGTCACAACATATAAGACCCAAGTAAAGGACTCAGTAATCTGTTGTGGTTCGGACATAAGTGATCCCTGAAGGCATGCTGACTTTATCCACGCCCTTAGGGAACAACTTTGGTAGGTCCTCATCCTTCACACTTGGTATGACCATTACCTTTGTGCCAGGCTGAAAACAAATAAATGAACAGTCAGCTTGAGGTGTACAGGCACACATAAATACTTTCCATATGGGAATGTGAAATCACTAAGGTATAGTCATGCCTAAAGACACTCACCGTCCAGTTGGCAGGAGTTGCTACGACCTTCAGCCTGTCAGTGAGTTGCAGAGAATCAATCACTCGAAGAATTTCACTGCAATCAAAACGACACTTATTTCAGCAGTATACTTCGAATTTACATGTAATTACAAAAGGATAATAAACTGTTGTAATACTGCAATGCATAAATCTGGTTTCATATCAAGAATCTCACTTACAGCAGTAATTTAGACGATGGAACAAGATTTTATACTTATAAAATTAATTTTGAAAAAACCTGACAGGATGGCTGCTCTAGGTGTAAATCTAAGGACAGTCTTTACTCATCATACCCAGTATAAATCTGGTCTCAGAAAGTAACCATAACCTTTCTGCGGTGTTTACAAATCTTGGTAAGAACGTGACTTTGCTGAAGGTTACTTAAATGAAACGTCTCTTAATATTTCACTGTAGTGCAAGACAGTTTTCCCACATGTCAGATGTGAAATATTTAAAATAAAAATGAAACTACCAACTTCAATAATGTCATTCTATTTGTTGTAACAGTTCTTGAAGTTAGAGCAACACTAGTAGAATGCTTTCCTATATAGTACAACCACAGAAAAGAATTTCAAAATTGAAGTATTCACTTCAATACAATTGACCTCCATTATGTCATGACCAAAGGTCAACAGGCATGTGAGTAACATCAGAGGTTATGGTCATTAAAATGCAGATTATTACAAACATATGTTCTCCTTCTCAGTAATGGTTATCCATGAGTGACTATTTAAATAGCTATCTGTAATCACGGAATACTAAAAACAATGATAATGAACTCACTCAACATTCCTGCCAGTTGAGGCTGGGTACAGCATGGACAGTCTAAGCTTGTGGTCTGGTCCAATGATGTACAGTGCACGAACAGTCATGGCTTCTGCTTCATTGTCCTTGTTGTCCTCATCAAGCATGTCCAGCTTCACTGCAAGCTCCCGAGTCTCATCTGCTATGATGGGGTATGGGAAGTCCCCACGAATGTCCAAGCAGTATGATTTGATGTCCTACAGGGGAATAAAGTATCATTAATATGCTCATATTTGTACCTGAAATTAAATTCAGAAGACAGGTCATGAATGCCAATATTTTAGATGGTCTTAAATGCAAGCAAGTTATAGAAATTGCCATGTGAAATAACTATAAATCTGTAAGTATCTCTTACACATTTTAACTTCAAAATCCTTTGCTGAATTCTGATTAAATTTAATACATGAGACCATCACTGAAACTAAAATATGAATGTGAAGCATCCTTGCCAGTGACCATTTCTCTGAGGGATTTAAGTGAACTTGTACAAATATGTCACTGAATAAGCCCTCAATTAAAAATTTTTAGACAAATGGCACAACAGATATGACAATTTGTCATAAACAATCAAACTCTTTCATAAAGACTCCAACAGAATATAATATACAGTTAATGAATAACACAGAAAAAGCTATACAATAAATAGCTTACTGATATGGCTGAAAGGCTTCCAAATTCAAACATCATCATTGCAATTTGTTTGTAATACAGTATAGGGTTCTAATATGTTAAAAATGTTGTTTAATAGTTAATTTTTATGTTGATTTGTACACCACTGTAATCCATTACACTGTTTTATTATCGATTTACAGTTCCTGTGTTGTAATTGACTGTTTTGTGAGAATTAAACACTTTAATTTATAAGCCTTTAAAATATTCAATTAAAATCCAGAGAGTAAAGATGAATGGAGAGACATATAGAATCTGTGTAGCTAATTTGTGATTGTGCAAGTCTAACAAATACCAGCAACAAGCAGATCAACTGCAGTTTCAGACTTGTGTGAAATACAGTTAAATAATGCCTTGAACTTCACCTTCCTTTTTATTGTTATGTTTGGCATAGTTTCATCATTATAACAACACCGACTAACAAAGTGACTGCTCCGTTCAATAAAGTTATTCATAACAAATTCACTGATTTTTTCATTTGTTGACACTGTTTCAGCTGCAGACCATTGAATAAGATGATTTCATTCTAAACCAAATGACAAAGAAAATGATCTGGAAAGAGAAAGTTGTGACTATCCTGGTACTATCCTGGACAGACTGAGAAAATGAAAATTCTCAGGGTAGTAAACCAGTCATGATCTGAACCAGGTACTTTCAGAAAATGAGTTCAGAACTTTACTTACATACCAACTTGCTCAGTGAGATGTAATTATATCAAGGATATTCAAATAATACATATATTACTTACTGTAACCCAGTCACTGTGGGACTTCAGTTTGTCGCAAGAGTGAGCTATAACCTTGACTCCTCGCTTCTTAAACTCATGATCATGAACAGCAATGCGACCCAGCTCCGTGGTGCAGACAGGGGTGAAATCTGCAGGATGTGAGAACAGTATACACCACCTAAAAAAGTAGCACCAAACACTACAATTGATACAATTCACTAGTCTTACTGCTGCAATTTTGATAACCTTCAATATTAGTAACATGTACGAAAAGTCTGTAACAATTCTGAATGTGGCTTTTTGCTTTGTGATACCGTTTAGCCTTGCAGGTGATTACCAACATGTTTCCATCTTCTGTGCTGATGGTAGAGCCTTCTGAAACACTGGTAACCATGTATGGAGCTACATGGTGTCACAACTGAGAAGAAAGCAATTTAAAAATATAACATCTCTATTCATCAAGTTGTTGTCATTGTTGTTCTTGTTGCTGTCATTGTCATCCATGTCAATGTTATATTCCAGAATTCCACACATTATTATTATTATTATTATTATTATTATTATTTCATACACATTTATAATGCTAGCCTGTTATAGGTGCACAAATGGGAGAGAAGAGAAATGCATATAGGATAATGGTGAAGCCAGAAGGAAAGAGACCACTGGGAAGACCAAGACTTAGGTGGGTGGACAATATTAAAATGAATCTTAGAGATATAGGATGGGATAGTATGGATTGCATTGATCTGGCTCCAGATAGGGACCAGTAGAGGGTTCTTGTGAACACGGTAATGAACCTTTGGGTTCCATAAAATGCTGGGAAATTCTTGAGTAGCTGCAGATTTGGCTTCTCCTCAAGAAGGCCTCAGCTCCATGTAAGTAAGTAAGCCTGTTATAGGTCACTCATTGGTAAACATTTAAGAAAAATAATTTAATTATTTAGTCATATACTAATACTGTATAAAACGAGCCTAGATCTGAATGACTTACGAGTCTCCTTGCCACTCGTAGAACTTAATCGGCCCCTGCGTGGTGTTGGCCGAGAAGTTGGGAATGACAGCGCCGAGCCTCATCTTCCTGCGTGTGCTGACTGTTGCCGATTACCTACACTCAGAAAACCGCTGCAGACTGGTACCGGTCCAGCGGGGAGCCCGCGTTATATAGGGACTGGCAGAAACAGCATTATCATCTGCGTCATGCTGCTTGCTTTTACTTGCCTGTGCAGTAGCGTTTCGATATGTCATCATTCACGTGTATTACACAGCACATGAAGCTGTACCGCGTGCGTACGACAGATGGGCATTCGAATACATGTCTTGTGGTAGATTCTTCCTATTATCATGTTTGTTTTTTATTATTATTATTTTTAAGTTGGTTATTCAATGACGGTATATGTTTTAAGGCCGATCACAGAGGCCGCGCGGTCTAAGCCGCGAACCGTCTTTGCCCGCTCGAACACTGTGATCATGGGTTCGAATCCCACTCGATGCATGGATGTGTGTGCATTTATTCTGTGTTTGGGTTGCTTTGGATACCGAACAAAATAAAACATGACTTCAGAAACATTTGTCTCCATGTTCGTGCACCTACGGCTAGGAAGTGAACTTGAATCTTTAAACCCCTCAGCTTTTCAACTGTTCAACGAGAAGCCAGACTACGGACGCAATCAGTGAATGACAATAATACAAGGACGTGAAGTAGCTAGGGGCTTTTCCTGCATTAATATACAGTCACGTGAAGAAGTAACTTTCGACGGGGTTTTGGATTGGATATTAGATTTACTGACCACTTTAATACACAATTCGTAATTACATTTAACTATAGCGCCATCGATGATCTCCACACTTTACATATTACTGTCACATACGCTAAGTCTTTTCCATCCTGCAGTGTCTTTACCACTAGTTGCCTGGTAAAGGCTACTAACAATGGTTACTCCTCTGCTTCCGTGCTTAGGCCCTCTCTGAATGGCGACTCCATTCCAACTGAACACTTTTGCAACTAACCTGCGGCAATTTTACATCAACCTTCTAATCTTAACTTCACCACTTGACTATCAACTAAGCTCTAAACCTCGTCTCGCTTATACCTCTCGACACGGACCACGTAGAAAACATAGCTTTTCCATTGTTGCCTTACTCATCTCCATTGGACACATGCCTGTCCGCGAAGGCGTCACCCAGGAACGGCCGCGTATACTTGTTTATTAAAAATCTGTTGCCTCTCAGGGAATGTTGTTTCGTTGTCTGTTTCGAGGTCGCTATCCAGCAACGGCTCTACACAGTACAATATTAAGGATTACTGATCTTACATAAAGTTGGGTGAGTTCTGCTTTATATTCCTAAATAGCTGCATAGTATGTCCTCACATTTTCATTAATATAAATAGTATATACCTTATCGACAAGAGTATAAAATGGCAATTACTAGACACATTTAGATTTGCCCAATATTTATATAGCATGCCCATGTTTTAAAACCACTGATTTGGCAAGGGCTAGTTTTGTTGTCATTCTGTCCCCGCCGCCACATTCCATGCACAAGTTACGTCCTCTAAATACTCGTAAAGCATTCACGGTGCATCTTAAGGCTCATTTTTGAATAGAGATTCGAGTGTGTCTAGCCTACAGTAACTGTTCGCTCAGCCCTTTCAATAACATCGAATTACTTGGATATTGTTTCGATTTTATAGCAGGCGAAACTGAAGCAAGACCAGAAACCTTAGCAGCAGAGTCCTGTGGTGTGAACGCCCTTGACCCTGAGGGCTCAGCCACTAATCCACCTGTTCCAGACAGTACACACCCAGTCGTGTAAAGTCAGTGTCTTAAGTAAGGCAAAGCTATCCCTCTAACAGGCCGTGGAGGCCCACAGGGTTGTGAGACGTCGAGGATTCAACATTTTCTAGACAGTCGGCTCACATACGGCGGTGAGGTTGTCAGCCTAACGCGTCAGCCGTCCTTTACCCCCAGGAACATCCTGGTACTCATTTCTGTTAAAGGCTGAGTCGACTCCAGGACCATAGTGCGGCTATATGGATTAGGTCAATTAAAAATCCAATAACCTCATTGGAGATAGAACCCACGACCTTCCGGCTTATAACATAGTGCCTTAACCAACTACGCTACCGCATATCACACAATTTATTTATAATAAATTTTTGTTGTGCGACACTCACAGAGCCAAAATCATCCAACCGTGGACGTATGTCGATTGGTCCCATTATTGAAACTTCTTCTCCATACAAAAGTAAAGCATGTCCCAGTCCACAATCACATGGACCTAAAGCTAGAAAGAAGGGCGATCAGACAGAGGAAGGAAATGCCAGGCCATGCTGAGACTTATATATGTTAAGAAGGTACAGCAAACACTACCATCGACGAATCGAAGTGGACCCACTTGATCTTGTCCGCATTCTTTCTGATCCTGGCAATGACCTGTTTCTTCCTCATGGCCAACGTAAACCTGATTCAAATAAGGCCCTCTTTTCGTGACGGCTGCTTTTCCGATGCTACCACAGGAGACCTTCGAGTGCAGTGCTTCATGTGTATCTATGGTCACATGACATCTGACACTGAAAATGATTAGCACTTTTTTGTGATTTCTATAAATTAAAAACATCCTTCATGCATGGAAATTAATACTAAATATGTTCTTTCTTAGAACGTGTTTTTGTACTTTAGTTTTTCTCATATTCCAGGTTCGATTTTCAATTTTTAAGTGTGTCTGACTAAACAAAAAAAAAAGAATACTTTTTGTAGTTGCACAGAAATGTTTGTTTTACATTGGCTAACGTTCAAATTCTATTCTTAAAATATTCCATGTACCTCTAGAATTTCCTGTGGGGCCACTTTTTCCATTTTTTGAAATATCAAAGTCATACTGAAAATCGATTCAGTTATTTAAATTTGAAACATGTTTATAGTAGCCAGTTAAGTTGGCTATGAAATCGTGAATTTGTTTTCGACAATATACTATTCCAGCTATTTCAAGAAAACAAAACAGTATTTCATACTACCATCTTCTCACCTTCGCACGTAAGCTAAGTTGTCCCTGTGCTTAACTAAGCACTACGCCATGAAGGAGTATGGGTGAGTGGATGAATAGATCCATATTTTCTTGACCTCGGCACTAGTTGGAGGTGAGTGGTTAGCTTCACGCCGCGGCCGCTTTACCCCATTGAATAGGAGGCTGGGTGGGAGCCAGAGCCGGTCTGGACGACATGGAGAAGAGAAAATTCTTGATCCTACCGGGACTCGAACTCTGACTCCTCGGTCGTCCAGCCCGTAGCCAGTCGCTATACCGCCTGCGCTATCCCGGCTCCCCGTACGTAAGTATGAGACAGAAATAAAGTTCGAAAGAAGTACGTACATACACACATAAATGACACAACACAAGAGAGCAAAGAACCATCTAAGCCCTAGTTCAAATTTGAAAGATATCGCACTAAAAGCAGCATTAAACAAATCGACTCAGCATGTTGAAAGTCTGTGTCGGATTTGACCTACGCAACAGCAGTCTGCAGGCCAGTTCCCCATACTCAAACGGAATAGCAATTTCTAACCTTGGGTCTTCACTGAGCGAGTTGACTACGCCGTATCGAGCGTATGGAGTCTCATTTGTTACATTCGAGCTTCGAATTCAGGTCCAGAAGGAACACGTTTGTTGTCTTACACTCGTAGTATAGGAGCCGGGATAGCGACTGGCTACGGGCTGGACGACCGAGGGGTCGAAGTTCGAGTCCCGTTAGGGTCAAGAATGTTCTCTTCTGTACGTCGTCCAGACCGGCTCTGGGGTTCACCTAACCTCCTAACCAATGGGTACCGGGGGTAAAGCGGCCGGGGCGTGAAGCTGATCACTAGCCTCCAGTTAATGCCGAGGTCAAGAAAATGTGGATCTATACACTCACTCCCCCATACGTCTTCATGGTGTAGTGCTTAATTAGTTAAGTACAGGGACAACTTTACCTTTACCTGTACTCGTAGCATACATCATCATCATCATCATCATCATCGATAAAACAGCCCTCTTTGAGCCATGGCCTTCCTTAGAAGATTCTACCAGACTGAATCCGGTTTTCACTCATTTGGATTTGGTAACAATTTTTTTATACATCAAGGTCGTCAGCCTTGCACATAACTCCCAAACCTGGAGGGCCAGGTCCCTGTATCTAGGTCCCCCAGTGACAGGGTGGCGCAGTTATGACCCCAGATACCGGGTTCCCTTTTCGTCGCCTCCTACGACACGCAGGGATACGGTGGAGGTATTCTAACCCGCCTCTACACGGGGATATTATAGTATTGTTTTTTCCTTGGCACTAAAGCCCCAGTGGGCCTTGGCCTACCTTCATGAACTTCTCCGTCTCCTCCGTTTACGTTGGTTTTACTAGATCTTAGGCATACGGCAGGACTCCTTGGGCGGGTGATCAGCTCGTCACAAGGCCTCTACCTGTACACAGACACAGAAAAACGCACACAAACATCCATGCCCTGAGTGACCGCTCGGCTAGATATTATAAATACAAAACCCGTCGACTTGTGTGTATCATTATTATGAAAGTTACGGTCATCTGGTCCATGATGTCGTATAGTTTCGTAAGTATCAAAGTTTCGGAGGAGCCTGCTGCCTGCACCCTCAGTGTGGCCAGCAGTTTTATCTGAAAATCTACTATCTACCTATCAAACTATACGGCGTCACGTCATAATATCCACCGCCATGAGAACTTCAAATCCCTTAATTATTGAGTTTTATTTTTCGCTTCGCTGATTGTTCAAATTGTGGTCTCCAGGGTTGTCACCTGTAGAAGATTACTGACGTTTCGGGGTAACATGTTGCCTTCACCTTCATACCGATTCAGGCTTCAGATGTAACAATAGAAACTATTGGACGGGTTCAATTTTGGGTCATCCGCCCAATACAGCAATGACTGCAGATATAACTGAACTATGTAACGTTTAGTAAAAGAGGCTTAACGTACAAAAAACTCATTGTGCGTACAGATCTCACTGAGGTAACTTTAGGGGAAAAAATGAATATGGTGAATACGTATTCAAGCGAATACAAGACAAAAGCAACTAAATTCATTCAGTGCGACAGTCTACGACGTTTAGAAGGAACCTCTTTACCTTTTGTGTCCTGAATGTGGGGGAAGCAGGTTGCTTCAAAATGTCTGTATCTACCAAACCAAACGGATTCATACACTCGCCGTTCTGAGAACCTCAACTCTCTTATGTGTGTACTACAAATAAAGGTAAAATTATCCCTCCGAATAATTAATTAAGCACTGCGCCATGAAGGCGTATGGGAGACCGGAGGTCTGGCACCACCATTCTTGACCTCGGCACTTGCTGAATGTGAGTTGTCAATTTCACGTTCCAGCCGCTTTACCTCCGCTACCCATTAGGTAAGATGTTGGGTGAACCCCAAAGCCGTTCCCGACGATTCGAAGAAAAAATCTTTTGCTACTGCTAGGAATCAAACCTCGGCCGTCCATCCCGATGCCCATCGCTATCCCACAGTAACTTAGCAAGAAGTTCCCTGTCAGAAATAACACAGTTAATGTGAAATTAGTTACGTCATTCATAAGCGCAGCAGTGATTTAATTATTAAGGAGTTCTGTATAATAGATTTCGTACGGTTAAGATCCACGCAATGAATGGAGCCTTATAGTTTATACGAAGCAATGACGTGTCTGAAGTCTCACTCCGTTTGAGTGACGGTACAAAAACATTCCTTGACAGACAGTGCCTGCGGACTATCTATCGGATGAGAAGGCGACAACAAACATGACTCGTATGATTATGCCGTTCCTATATAAAGCGAGCTCCTCGCTGGACCGGCATTAGTCTGTCTGCAGGCACTCACGAAAGATCAGGATACGCAGGAAGATGAGGCTCGGCGCTACCATTCCAAACTTCTCTGCCAACACCACGCAGGGGGAGATTAAGTTCCACCAATGGCAAGGAGACTCGTAAGTCATTTGAATTATTGGCTCATTTTATACAGCAGTCGTATATGACTAAACAATTAAATTCCTGTATTAGAATGCTTGCCAGTAACAAGTGACCAATTAACGGTATAAATACATATACACCAAACTATAAGTCATATCAATTCCTTATTATCTATATATGCCGAGTCAACAGCTACAAGGTCAATTACAGACACAGCACAGTGTAATAATTCAATTCAATTCAATTCTTTATTATTAATGTGCCGAGTCAACAGCCGCAAGGCCAATTACAGACACAGCACAGTGCAGAAGAATGAATGACATTATACACAATCTTATTAAAAGTCGAATAAAAATTACAGGTTAACACTTGAAGAAATAATAATGAATAAAGTAAAAGAAAACAAACAAATAGTTGATAATTATGACAGTAATAATAAGTTCATTATCATTAAACTAAGTGTTATTACGAATTCAGGAATGAAACATAAATTAAACATAAATATTTAATTAAGAAATGAATAATATAGAATTACAGAGGATAATAATAATATACGTAATTCATTTTGTTTTACTGGACA